ACACTGTAAAAGAAATATAAGAGCAAATGGCTAAGCTAAGGGATCATTACATTTTGCAAAAGTTTTCCTTAGGTTAACTACATTTGGGCAAATAGCTAAGATTTAAGGATTTGAAATGATAATCGTTCATAATCATTATATTTAATATAAACTCATTATAATTAATATAGATGTAGTTTACATTAAAATAGTAATAGTGAATAGTAATATTTAACATTTAACAAGTACTTATTAAGTGAAAGGCTGTGTTCCAAAACTATAAATTCATTCAATCCTTACAATAATCCCATTAGTATGTAATACTATTGTTGCCATTTTACAGAAGAGAAAAACTCTGGAACTGAGAGAAAATAAACATTCAACCCATGTTCACACGGCTTTTAAGAGTGGGGCAGAATTTCCAACAATATGGAATATTTCTCAAGGAGTACATAGTCTTGCATAATAGGTCTTAAAATTCATGCAGATCAATATGAAATATAAATTATGCCACGGTATCTTTGATTTTATCATAATGAATTACTGTAAATGAATTAATACATATATGATTTTACCTGAACTGAGTATTCCTTTGTTAAGTCTAATCTCATTAATTTTCTGAATCTCTAAAATATAATTACCATATCAGATAACATTATATTTATAATATTGCAGTTAAAACAGGTGAGGAAAATTGACTCCACATATTTAGAGATAAGTTATATTTAAAGCTTCAGCCAGACCTAGATGACTGAACATTAATTTATGATTAATTTGATATTGTTCCCCATCATATCAGTCTGTTCACTAAAAACCTATAGTTACTTTATAGCGTAATCCTACAAAAACCATTACCACTCATTTTGTATCTCAAGTGAAGCTAAGTGGTTAAATATTGTGATTTTGTGTGTGTGTGTCTGGTAATGAACCAGAGGCAACTTTGGAGTTCAGATCCAAAATCTGGACATGATTTTGCCATTCTGTTGTATTTATTTGAACAATAGATTCTAATGTGACAGTTGATGAGGTTGTTGGTATCCTCTCTCACTGGAGTAGTACAGGAAGTTTATTGATGCGTTTTGCATATATTTAAATGCCATGTGTCCTTTGTTTGAAAACTGTCTCATTAAAGATACATCTCATATTTCCACTTATTTCTTCAATTTACATATATAAAATTTTAAAAGGCAAAAATAAATTTATGTGTAATATTAAAGATCTACTTATAAGTTACTTTGTAATTGTTTTATATTTCATCTAGATAATAACATCCTTTCCAAAGGAAAGGTCTCAAGTAGGTCACAAGTATCTTTTACACATGTTTAAGAAAGATAAGTGAAGCATAAGGACTTTTTTTAAATGGAGATTTATTTTTAGTTTATTCATATAGTCCGAATTGGTTTTGCTGATTGCAACTGAAGTCAGAGATTATGGTCTGAGCAATGTTTCACATATTAAAGACGGTATACAAGTCGAAGCACTTAGGCTTGGGATTCCTCTGGAAGAAATCTGGACCAAGTGAAAAACATTTTATGAGCTAAGTCAGAGGCTTTTCCAGTCAGTCTTGAAGGCAACCAGCTGGCTTCCCATCTGTTTCCTTACCTAAGTCCAGGAGCAAGTTGGATATAAGCTAAGGCACTGTTGACATGCATTTGGAGAATGAAAGTGTTCTTGTTTTCATTTCTAATATATCCCATTCTGTGTATATTTAAATAAGTTTTTTTTTTTTTTTTTTGCCTAATTTAATGCCATCATAAAACAATGCATGTAACCTAGAGTTTGATGGGGGTGGTGTCACAATGGAGGCATTGCAAACCTGAATGAGAACATGGCAGCCTTAAACTAGATACCTTCCTCTGAGTTTAGATGGCAGACAGATCTGTGGCCACATTGAATTGGAAGGCAGGAGGTGTCAGAGATACAAGTAGTGGCAGAATTAACAAGGAGCACATTTAAAAAAATTTTTAAATGTTTATTTATTTTTGAAGTAGATAGAGAAAAAGAGAGAGAGAGAGAGAACACGAGTAGGGGTGGGGGGGGAAGGGAGGGAAACACAGAATCTGAAACAGGCTCCAGGCTCTGTCAGCACAGAGCCCGATAGAGGGCTTAAATTCAGGGAACGGTGAGATCTTGACTTAGGCTGAAGTCAGACTCTTAATCGAGTGAGCCACCCAGACACCCTAAGGAGCACAATTTTTTCAGTCTTCTGCCAATCCTCTAAAATTTTTAACCTCTACAAAACAATAACCTTAATAAATATTTGTTGGAAAGCCATCATAGCAAAGAAAACTAGATGCCATAATGATGATAATAATAGCAGACATTTCTTCAGGGCTAATTCTGTGGTGGATACTTTACAAGTGCTGTCTTATTTAATCCTGCCATAACCCTCCAATGTAGGTATTAATATTATGCTTATTTTGCAGATGAGGAATTTGAGGTTTAGAGAGGATAAGAAACTTGTCCAAAGGTCCCATGGGTGGTAAGAGGTCTCCTGGGCCTCAAAGCCAGGTCTACTGACTCCAGAACTCATGTTCTTCATCTTTGAGGGATCCTTTAAAGTCAGCCAACCGGTCCTTGTAACTCACTGCCAATGGAGACAATGGCACAAATCAAGTCTGGCTCAACCTGAAATTTCTAGTAGAAGGCCAAGCAATTAATGTTATGATTTGCCTGGCGTGTAGAGGGGAAAGTCCTCAATGTTTTAGATTTTCAACAGTATACATCCTTGTAAAAATAAATTTTCCTATTGCAAAATAGTAAATACAAGTAGAATAAAATTTTGAGGCAAATGACCCCTGAATAAAAAAAAAAGTGTCTATCTAGAAATTGTGTGTTTGCTTTCTAATTGAGCAGTTATGCAAGCATATTTTCTTATACTAATATCTTTGGTATAAAGATTATGAATATGGTGAAAGGAGGTGTAACATTGCCATCTCATTTATTTTTCTTATGCAACTGGATGCTTCCAATTGTTTATACTCTTTTAGGAAACTTAACACTGTGTTGAATTAAGATTCTACTTTATATTTTCTAAAATAAACATTTTCTTTGACTATACTGTATTTTGGAATGTTTGCACCTAGGATTCATAAGAAAAAAAAAAAAAAAAAAACCTAACAGCCCTGCTTAGGTTTGGGTCCTATAAAAATAGGAGCATGAAAGTGTGAAAGATACATTTTTAAGGCTCTCTCTTACAACTTTATATGTAGTAGAGACAGATTTAAGCAAATTAAATCTTTCAACAGGGGTATTGATATGTACAATATAATATCAAAAATAGTGAGACATTGGGGTACCTGGGTGGCTCCATCAGTTAAGCATCTGACTTTGGCTCAGGTCATGATGTCATGGTTCATGGGTTCAAGCCCCCTGTCAGATTCTGCACTGACAGCATAGAGCCTGCTTGGGATTCTCTCCCCCACCCCTCTCTCTGTCCCTTCCCCACTCTCTCTCTCAAAATTAAATAAGCATTTAAAAAATATCGAAAAAATAGCGAGACATATGTATGTAAAATGGTTATAGCAGTGTTACTAAAATACTGTTACATAGAAAGTTGAAAAGTGCAGAACGATAAGTGAAATTTGAGACATTTTTGGTTAAAAATCCTATCGTGTGTGTATATATGTGTGTGTAATACGGTGTCATGTGGTCCAGTGTGTAAGCATAAAACAAAATTCTAGACCTATTCATACCAAATTATTGAAAAGCGGAAAAATTATTGAAAAGTTGTGAGGAAACTTTTAGTTCTTAGTTTCTACACTTCGGACTTATTTTGTTTTATTTTTATGAAAACACGTATATTGGTTTTGTTAGAAGCAAAAAGTAGTATTTTTTTTCCAATTTTCTTGGCCTTCAGTGCTTATGACTAAAAGATGCAAGTTACCTCTTCAGTCTAATTGTCCTCATTAAGGCTTGCTGCCTTAATTACAGATTTTCCAACTGTGCCTGATTCCTTTGCCACTCTGCCCTTCTGTACTGGTATTCTCTGTCGGGAAGGCCCTTCCCTTCCCTTCTTATGCCCAGGTTCCATTATGTTCCCTGTTCTAATTCCAGTGCTTCTCTAACACACTTTTATATGTATATTTCTCAATCAATTCCCCTCCTCTGTTATCATTTCAGACACTGTGTTCTTCTGTTACATATTACATACCGTAGTTTGCCTTGTAATAAACTTGACTAATGTATCTGAAAGAGCCGTCTGTAAAATTGAAACATCTTAATGCTTATTTATTTCCTTATACTTAGATTACATTACCTTAGGGGTGTCCCATAACATTTGAAAAATTAGTAGATTTTTATTTTTGTGACAATTTTTGAACAATTCCAGCTTTTCTTTATATCGTAATTTACTTTCAGTCACTTCTACTTTATGACAGATTGCCAATCTTGAGATTTATAATCCACTCCTACACTCTATGTTGTGATTTCTATGTAATAACTATATTTGCTTCCTCTATTTTCTTATATAAACACATTTCAAGAGGCTTAAATGGGAGATGGCAGTCCAAATAAAATAACTTTGGCATTTGCAATTATTTTATAACACGATGCCAAAATATTGTCACATGTAGTATCTCACATGACAAATCTAATAAAGTGTTAGAGAAACAGAAATTTTTGTAATAGGTTCCTGTATAAATCAGTACAGGTGATTTCCTTTTACGAGGACAGGCAGGATTATTTTCGATAGGACAGAAGCAGGGGAAAGAGTGAAAACCCAACTGACTTGCAAACAGGAGTTTCCTGGGTAGTCATTGGGGAAGGGAGTTTTGCTGTGTCACAAGTGACTAGTCCCTGGTTTTGAAAGAGAGTGACTCATCCTCCTTTGAAACAAGAGATAAGTGGGAGAGAGAGCTGTATAAAATTATTTTACAACTATTTCCTTTTGAGCTATGACTTCTTAAACTGGAATGTGATCCAGAATAGCTTCCCTTTGAATCCAACATTTGTCTTAAGCATTTTTATTGTCTCTATTTTCTCTCACACCATCTCCCTTCTTCTCTCCCTCTGTTCAACAGATTTACACTGACTGGGCCAACCACTACCTAGCAAAATCAGGCCATAAGCGGCTGATCAAGGATTTGCAACAAGACATTGCAGATGGAGTGCTGCTAGCCGAAATCATCCAGATCATTGGTAAGACCTGCCCTCTGGGAAAAACCATGAAAGTCTCTCCCCCCCCCCCCCACCCGCCTTGGTCAAACACAATTTAAGTTGAATGCATATGAACTTAGTCCCTGTGTCTCTGAGATTAATGTAGCTCTCCCGTGATTTAATTAAAAATGTTTATGTGAGAATGTTTGAAAAAAGCAGTTTGGCTATACTTTTAAATGGCTAGAACTGTATCTTTACATCCACTGGATTGTCAGAAATGAACGCTTCATTAAACCATATGTCTCCCATGTGTGCATTTCGTTAGCTAGGGCAACTCATACACTCTGAGATTCCTTGAAACTGTATCCTGATCCAGCAGGGACAATTGTGAAAGGTTTCATGTCAGCAGTCATTTGGCACAGGCTAAAGAATTAGCAGCAACTTCCTTCTCACTCACTTTTTTTTTTTTTTTTTTTTTTTTTTGCCTGATTTGTGCATATGGAATTGGCGGCGGCTAACAAGTGTGTCCTCTTGTACGCGGCTGGGGAGACAGAGTGAATGTAGCAGCAGCATTGTGCTTGTTTTGGTTTTGGTTTTGGTTTTTGTGTTTTCTTAGTCTCCTTTTTTTTGTGTTTCACTTCATTGCTTAAGCATGTCATTCTTTTTTTCTCTCTTTTATTTTATTTCTTGGCTTTAGCAAATGAAAAAGTTGAAGATATCAATGGATGTCCTAGGAGTCAATCTCAGATGGTAAGAATCAAATTTATTTTAAAATATAATGCTTACCTTCACTTTTGATTACACTGCATTTGTAAATGGACTAGAAATTTCTTTTGCATGCATTCCTGCTTAAGAAACCATTCGATCACATTCTATCATATGTATTTCTTTGGGTGCAGTTTATGGGCAAATGATAGCATCAGCACAGCTGAATATGGATGACTCCTGAATAACATGTGTCCAGGTGTTTTATCAGATCCTTGACTTTTTGTTGTTGTTGTTGCTCTGATGGCTGAATAATTTAATACTGGTCTTGCTGGCAGTAAATCCCATTTCCAATTTTAAGTGGAGCCTTTTTGTCTGAACAACTGGTTTGAAGAACAGAGCTGGCCATGTGCATCTGAAAAATACATAAATAGTATTTTCCTTGTTCATAACAAAGTCCAGTGTAAACACAGAGACTCTTCAGCACTTTTGGAAATAGCTCCAAAGGCATGCTGCTGGACGTTTTCTGAACAGTGACTGATCATGAGATATGATTCATAGCCTTTTTCAGAAAGCTGTTGATCTAGAGGTCTGTGCCTTTCCCATCTCTCTTTTTATCTTTACCAACTGGTAAAGTTTAAAGTTTTATAATGAAAAAAATAGATTGATAAACTGCTGAGGTAAAAACTTACCCCTCTATTTATTAAATAGCCACAACTTAAGTTTCTAGGACAACCTGAAATACAAATGCCTTCATTAAAGTTATATCAGCAGATATAATCAGGAGTGATAGCCAAAATCCATCAGATGAGGCTTCCTTCAAAACTCTAGCGCAAAATAGACATTTTAAGTGAATGTAATGACTTCTCGATTGTCAGGGATTGGAGAATGAAAAAAGGAGAACTCTTTTGATGTGCTGACTTGCTTTACTTAATGTCAGAAAACTGAAATCCAAAATAATAAAAGGAATTTATTCTTAAAGAGTGATTAACTAGCATGTCGTGTGTGTGTGTGTGTATGTCTGTGTCTGTGTGTGTGTGTGTCTGTGTGTGTATATGATTAATAAACACTCAAAGGCACTATTACAATACATAAACCCTGCATAACTGTTGTGAAAAAAAATCTCGGTAAAAAACAATTTTCTGTAAAATAATTCAGTGTTAAGGGGACTTCTTGATCTAATTATTCTGGGCACAAGCATGGCACTATGGAAATTAATTATAATTTTACTGAAAGCAATTATAATACCTTCAGACCCTGCTAAAATAATAGCTGTGTGATATTGGAAAATGATGTAACCTCTCTGAGTTTCAGCTTTTTCATCTGTATAATGAACCCTAATTAGGATATGATAATGACCTATAATTATGGATATTCTTTACTACCAAAACTGATATGGAAATATAATAGTGCTGCTATAAACTTTGTTAAGACATATTCATGAATTAACACATGTTAAACATTTTTTAGAGCTTTATATTAAAAATCTGTATAGTCCCTGAATATCATATTTTATGTTTCTTAAACTCAACACTTGGGTTTACTTTCATTATTTCAATTATAAGGAGGTGTTGGATAGTAAAATAGGTCTTGTCTGTTGTCATTCCAGTTTGATTCTGATTACAGAGAATCCAATAAACAGCCAAGCTAACATTTCATGACAGAAAAAACAAAACAAACAAAAAAAACCTACGAAGTTCATAACTATGGATAGGAATATAGTCCCTACATATTTATCTGAAACATCTGTACCGAAGATTCTACAAATCTGTGAAAACATTCTCATGAGTATTAGACTCTGTTAATTTTTTTATTACTTCCTAATCCTTATTAGCCCCCAAATGTCATGTAACATCTAGTATACATGTCGTGTTGATATTTCTGCTTTTGATTAACACACACACACACACACACACACACACACACACACCAGAAAAACCAAAGCCTGAGGGATGTAGATGCTATGAAAAAGGTAGTTTTTCCAGCCAAACAGTATTAGTTGGAATCACTTTGGATTTTGAGTTAAGAATGACTTGTATCCTCATTTTTTTCTGATGTGGTTGAATTTTGAATCTGAAGTTGACATGCCCTCCATGTGTTGATTCAGAATAATGCATATAACAAAAATAGAGCTTTCTAGTTGAATTACTTTTGCCTCTATTCCTGAGAATTGGCATTGGCACTATATTATTAATGGATAAAGATCCAGACTTTAACTGAGACAAGAAATTAGGGGAAAGAGAATTATGACAGAGTATGACTGGGCTTATGAAGTTCTTATAAATTTCATATATCTATTCCAAACAGGATGTTGCCTGTTTCTTTATTGCTTAACAACCAAGAGGTGAAACATTAATAACAGTGAGTGCTATCCTTACTCACAAAACTGCTTTGACCACATCCTTTTGAATATCTGATTTTTTATGGTGCTTGCTGTTTGTGTGGAATAAGGAAAGGTAAAGTAAAAACTAGGTATGCTCCTGTTTGTAGTCACAAATTATTTAAATTTCAAACTTGATAACTTTTATTGGATGGTTTTAAACCTTTAAGAATACAGAGTCTCTTGTGATATGAATCTACAATATATTGATGAATATTTTGATGAATAGTAGTCAGGTAATTCATATTTAGCCAATATTTGCTGAGCACCTGAGCTACCAGATTGAGGGACCCTTGAGGATCAAAGGAGCAAATATTGAAACAAATAATAGCAACAGTGCTGCATAGGTAAGAACAGAAGTACTGTGACGGGAGTCCACTGTGGCTTGAGTGCAGTGAGGTGTTTGTATGGGACGATGGAAGTCTGATCACACAGGGCTAAAGTATGGGGTTGGTTGAGGAGCCTTTTGAGGACTTTTAAAGCTGGCTGTGGCATGATCTGATGTAAGTATTTAAAAAAAATCATCCTAGATGCTTTCTGGGAATTGTAGAATATGCGTTAAATCTTCATTTGGATGTGGGACGGGAGATGACGAATATAGGGAGGATGAATGTTCCCACAGTTTCTCCTGAGAAGTTACTATTAGACGTGATTACTACAGAGGGAGAAAACAGACTAAAGGTAGAAGGGGGAAGATGACAAATTCATACTTTGAAAGTAAAGTTTGACCTATCCGTTGGAACATCAAGTAGGAGGTGACTTCAGGCAATTAGGCATGTGTTCCTGAAGGTCACAATAAGGTGTTAGGTAGAATATAGCTAGTGCACAGGTAATGATTGAAGTCATGGAAAAAGGATGAGATTTCAACAGAAGGCCTGTATAAAGTCAGGAGGGGAGAGATTTGAGGTTCTCACACTGGGGAATATCAATATGTATGTGATGAGCAAAGGTGTAGGAATCAGAAATAGGGAAGAGTAGTGAGAGAGTGAGCCCATCTTTAAGAGGATGGATCCACAGATGGGGATTATTGATCCTTAGGGTAGCTAGAGTAGCTTCAACTAGAGTACTTGGACTAACCCAGTGAGATGGGGCAAAGTAAGATGAGCAGAATGCGGTGGAGGTTGTCAAATGCTACTTAGCCAACTAGTTGGTGTACCTCAACAAAGAAGTTGGTTCTAGCAACTAGGCAGGCATTAATGACCTTGATGCAAATGTCTTCTATAGGGTGACCATGTGTTAATTAAGGAGTAAGAGAGGTGCCCCTGTCTATTGAGATTTGGATAATCTTTCTAGGAATTTCCTGTTGAAGAGAAAAACAAAAATATAGCTATAGTTTGAGACGAAGGAAGGGTGAGGGGAGCTTTTGGAAGGGGGGAAATAGGCAGAGGAGGAGGAAGCAGTAAGGAGAGAGAAGAATCCAGGGGACTGGGGAGACAAAAGATGATGCCAAATCCTAAAGCAAGTGGCAAAGGAATAAATTTGAAGTCTGTGTAGAAGATTAAATTTTTTTTTAATGTTTATGTATTTTTGAGAGAGACAGAGTGCTAGCAGGGGAGGGGAAGAGAGAGAGGGAGACAGAATCTGAAGCAGGCTTCAGGCTCTAAGCTGTCAGCACAGAGCCCGACACGGGGCTCGGACCTGTGGACCTCCAGATCATGACCTAAGCCAAAGTTCAATGCTTAACTGATTGAGCCACCCAGGCGCCCCCTGGGTAGAAGATTTAATGTTGGAAAAGAATGAGGGTACATTTTCCTTTGTGTCATGTCACAAGGGGATATGATTGCATGAAATGAAGGTACCTGAAAATGGATTAAATAGAAATTGAAGGAGTTCATCAATAACATAACTGCAGAGTATTAGAGAATAATAATGTGCACTTTTCCGTGGGATTCTCTAATTATAATACCTTATAGAAAAACTCACGTATGTTGTCTTGAAATAGATGAAGAGGGGCGCCTGGGTGGCGCAGTCGGTTAAGCGGCCGACTTCAGCCAGGTCACGATCTCGCGGTCCGTGAGTTCGAGCCCCGCGTCAGGCTCTGA